GCAGCCACACATGAATGTACCAGAAAATTAAAGTGAAAAAATTGTTTTTCTTTCCCCCTCTAAGTGACAGTTTAAGATTAGCCTTTAAGAAGTCTAGAAAGTATTTTTGAAATTAGTGGAATCCTTCTTTTTTCCCCTTTGGTGAGTTAATTTCATTAAATGTGAAGATTATTAAAAATGTACATTTTAAGCATATTTTTGAAAAATTAATATTGTTTTAAAAATGATTACCACATCTCATAGATTTATGTGTATACGAAAATGTGAAGGGTTGTTGGATATTTGGCAGGTAAGATAAGTTTATTAGTGATTTTCTTTCTTCTCTCGTATCTTTACTGACCATAAGCTTTCTTTCCTGTAACTTTGTATACCCCCTTTTAATTTGATTTTTCTTTGAGACAGGGTCTCACTCTGTCAACCAGGCTGGAGTACAGTGGCACGATCATAGCTCACTATAACCTTGAACTCCTGGCTCAGGCAATCCTCCTGCCTCAGCCTCCCAAGTAGCTAGGGATTACAGGCTTTTTAATTTTTTTAATGAAAATATTTCCTTCATACACTTCAATGAGTTGGCAATTTCCTCACTGAAAGATTTTGCACATTTGCAAATTGGATATTAGAGTCAGGCACTGATACCAACTTAGACTCTGTGTGTCCCTACTATGCATGACTGGACATTAGACTATGAGTCTCTGCCATGCATGACTGGACAAGGGCAGGGTAGAGCTGCAGGGGAAAGCCAGGCTTTCTGGAGAATGCGTTGATACTGGTCAGAGGCTCTACTAAGCTGAACAAGTTTTCTAAGAGGAAGCCACCTTGCCAACCTCTCTGGAACTTTGATTCAGTCCCCAAGTAATAGGAGTTGGTCAAAGGTAAGGTGTGGTTCTGTGTTAGTAGAACAAGCACCTTGATTTCCTTACTGATTCTTTGGAAACTTTGGCGCTATTAATAGTTTGAATCACTTAGAGAACAAAAACCTATTATGGATCCTGGAATCCAAAGACAAGTCCCTTTGTGAACTTGTCCTCACAAAGGGACTTGTCCATAGTGGCCCATGTATCCATTGGTTCTACTTAGCCACAATTGCACGTATTTACCCTTTTTTATGATATCAAAAGAAAGAAGATTTTTATTAATGATTCTAAAGGGAGGCTTCTTATATGTACATATAATCAATTTGTGGATGTATCAGCATATCACATGAAGCTAGGAGCCTCTCACCCCTCTTTTATGTGTGATTTTCCTCCTCTCTATCAAGCAGCATCTGAGAATTTGGCTGTGTAGACCTATCCCTGTTGCCTATAATGCTAAATCTTGAACAAATTATATCTCTTGTCACTAGAGAAGGTACTGCTACATCAGCACACCAATAATGTGCGCATGTGTGTGTGTTCTTCAATTTCCTTTTCTCAGGTTATATAAGTGGTTTGTGTTCATTTTTAAAGTTTATGATATATAAAGAAGAAGAAAATACCCTTACAACCATCCTTTCTGTAGTAGCCTTGGTTAACATTATAAAGTGAGTGCTTGCTGTCATATCTGTGGATAATATATTTTATATAGTCAAAATGAGACTATATGTATAAATTCCTGTTTATTTTTTGAAGTATTTACCCTTTCTCATGTTATTACCATTTTTCATATATTTAAAAAGTTGATTCTAAGAGGACAATCATGTTTGTAAGGGTTCATTGAGTCACAAAGCTATAGGAGAGCTATTTTATGCATTTATTAAATTTTTAAATAATATTATTGAAAATTACTGTTCTGTGGCTAACACACTAGTAACTTCCTTTAAATAAAGCAATTAAATATCTACCTATAAATAAATTTGCATTGCCAGTTTACTGACTGATCATCATCAGTGAATGAAAGCTGACTTTCTTCTAATGTTTTGTCCTTGATATAGAACAGTGGTTTTAACCTTTTTTGGGTCACTGACCCTCTGAGAATTCAATGAAAGCTATGAGCCATCTTTGCAAAGAAATGCATATTTACACAAAAAACTAATTATAATGATAATCAATTATGATATGCTGGGCACTCTGCCAACTGCTTTGCATGTGTTATTTTGTTTAATCCTCATAGCAGCACTATAAGGAATGCTTTCTTATTATCCTCATTTTTGAGATAAAGATTCTGAACTTAAAAAGATCAAGTAATTTGTGTAAGCACCTGAGCTACTAAGTAGAGAGCCGGGGCTCATACTCTGATTTTTATGGCCCCAAAGCCCATCCTCTTAATCATTGTGCATGTAATTTGTAATTTTAGGGAGCTCAAGAATTCCTAAAGCCTGTTTATTGATACTCAAATTAAAGGCTTCTTACCTATTGCAATCCAAAAATTTTCATTGGCAGTGAAGAGTGTATGTGGTTAATGAATCTTACTATTTGTGCAATTTATTTAATTAAAACACAATATTTGTTGAGCATCTGCTATTTTGAATACTTGTTAGGTTTTGTGTGATAGTCCTATAATAATCCATAGGAGTTTACTGTCTACATGGGAAAAGAAGAATTATATACATAAAGCAATAAGAAAAACACAGATATGAAGTTGAATGTAATATTTAGACATTTTCATAAGCTGTATTTAAAATTAATCTCTTTACTTTGTCATACCTGATGCAATTGTCATTCTTTGAGTCCCTGATATATAAAAGGGAAAATCAAATCTAAAAGGGCATATCCTTTGAGAACCTGGAAGATTCAGTGTGTCATAAAAATGAGGTTTATAAAGTGACTCAGACAATCTAATGTTCATCACGTCCAGATTCCAAATGGTTTCATCCGCTTCATCTGTTAGCCCAAGGATCACACCCAATAAGGAGATTCAGGAATGTGTAGCTAGCTCCCAAACATTCCAATTGTGTATCCAAGGATAATTCTGTTGATTTGGACATATATAGGACAGCAGAACATGTTGATAGTTGCTGTATTTTGATTCAATTAGTGTTCCTGCTAACAGAGGACTTCAAATGCTTCAGCATAGACTTGAGCCATGCAATATTGATAGTGATAATCTATCAACCATGGAAGAAACCATCAAGCATAGAAAGCGTAATTAAGCTGACCACCTAACAATCAGGCCTGTCAAAGAGTGGTTGTAACTATAATTCAAAGAACTGCTGTTAACAGGAACATAGTATGGCCAAATTGTGCATTTAACTCAAATAGCTTCTGTATATGAGGTCATCACAGATAATGGTTATAGGAGGTATGAAAGATGGAGTATAGCAAGCTTTCTGTCAACATGGCCATCATCAAGTATTTGTACAGTTTTAGAATTTTACTCTTTTAAAACTTTTATCACTTGGGCTACATATGAAAGAATTTATAAATGACATTTGAATGTTCTTCTCAAACCAAATAGAAATTTTAATACTGCTAATCATGCTATATAGTTTATCTCTTTCCATTTATGAATCATTATTTGAAATGTGTATAATAATAATTTCATATATAATTGTTTAATACATTTGTGCTATATTTTAATGAGTTGAAGAAATGGCTTTATATTTTATTTCATATACTGTTCCCATAATCCTGGCAATCTAAGTTGTTGGCATTATTTTTTAAAAGTGGGGCAAGGATTTTATGAAACCCTGTTATGTCTAAGAAGCCCTCAGATGAAAAATATTTTTAAAGAACAGAAATTCCTGTCATTGTTCACAAATTTTCATTTGAGTCTGTCCAGCTACTAACTATTGGAAGTAATTGTCCAGACATATATGCAAATATCTTCATGGATTTTATTTAATTTCAAAAGAAGAATATAATACCAAAGCTCTGTAGTTTCCTAAATATAGCCCTGGAGAAAAATATAATTGAAATAAAAACATTTCTTTTCATATTTGCTTTGAACAGATACTTGAGTTGTTTTTGATATAAATAGTAGATAGGATATTGGCTACACCAAGAGAATGGAAGACATAGTAACTATCTAGATTTTGAATTGGTTCTGTATGTGTGTGTATAGGGAACTTAAGACCTTTCGATTCATAATAAGCAGGGCTCAGAGACAATAAAACTTGACATTCTTAACTGTTACTAGTTTTTGTCCCTATAGCCCTGTACAGTTATCTTCTTGTTAACAATGTGGAAGCCAGAGTCATAAACTGAGCATGGACCCAAGGCGCCACTGTAAATTGCAAATAGCATTCATGTAGTATTCTCGACTTAACACTAAATTGGGGTAGAGGGAGAAGAAAAAAGAATTTTTCACAGTAGAATGGAAGTAGAAGTCAAGGACAAAGAATACACTAGAAGGACAGACATGTGCAAATGTTCTCTAAGTTTTGTAGTGAGATTTATTCAGATGGGCCTTTTCATATCTGCAAATACTCCTTTGCTCAAAAGCCAAGTACTGGATCAGTGCAGCCTTTGCTGCTATGGGGTGTGTGTGGGTGTGTGTGTGTGTGTGCACGCGCACGCGGGTGTGCGGGCATGTGCATGTGTGTGTATGTGTGTTGGCAATAATGCACTCATGAGATAATACAAATAATCAGGGAGGGAATAATTAATGATGTGGCAGGGAATATTTTTTGATAAATGCTTGGGGAATGAGGTGACAAGCGTGAAATTAGAAAATTCCTTCAGCGATCTAAAATATAAATAGCTTTCGGAACTGAAAAGAGTTTCACAGCTGAAGATTTTATTGTGTTGAGAGGAAAAACTTTTTTCTCTCCCCCACTCCCTCCTCCTTTGCAAGTTGTTTGTCCATTCACAAAACAAATACTCTGAAGCCCAGCGCGGCTCATGGGAATAAATTTCAGGTCGAATTAGTACAGTTTCCTTGCTGTCAGGATGCTGGAATTAATGGTGTTTTGATGACACGAATTTTGAAGGGCGAACAAAGAAGCTGAAGGGAGAGAGACATGACTCCTTAGAAGCTTGGTCCTCCTCTCCCCCAGCCTCTCTTGTCTTCCCTGTCATCCGTCTGCCAATCTCCCTGTCCATGGTTAGTTAAAGGCGCTTTTTATCCTCTTTTCTTTCCCACAGAGTTTGCCAGATCCGGCCCGGTGCCTGGGTTCCAGGAGGACACGCTGCAGTTGGCCTTCATCGACTTGAGACAAGTAAGTCTTTGTGTTTTTGTTTTTTGTTTTTCTTTTAAGATGTGTGACTGAAGACCATCAGGTCTTAAGGAAAAGGGGAGGGGAGGGGATTGGCATTGGCGATTCACACTGGAGACCTAAGGTTTTTTCCCTGTGTTTGAGGCCACCTCTTTTATTTAGCTATCTGGGATCCTTAGCTATGGTGGAGTTAAAGGTTTTGTGGGTAGAAGGAAAGGCAGGGGGTGGGAGGAGGGACACAGAGAGTAGAGGGACTCAAGTGACCCTCAAGTGATGTGACCCATTGTGCTGTGGTTGGCTTCTGTAGACACAGCAAAAAGATAACTCAGCAAACCAATGCTAAGCAGGTGCACTGATGCAGAGACTGCCTGCAAGGAGAACTTTTATTTGGAGATAATGTGGCCAGCAGCCTTTTAGAAAAATGAAACATTTTACATTCTGGCATGTTGGTTTGGATTGTTGACTTTTTCCCGCTGCCTTAAGTCTTCCCACCTCCTCCTTTGTAGAATGCGGTCAGCCATGAGTGACCAAGTGGTCGTTTTTTGAAGATGTTTAGCAAAGGCCCTACCAGTCATGCTAAGCCTATTAAAGTTATGTGATAAAAGTTGGTACTTAGGCATACCTGAGCTTTGGCAAGTCCGTTAGCTAGAAAGAGTCATTCTATAGGGCTGTTTTTGCAGATTGAAATGGGTGGGTTGGTAGGCCTTGGTGGTTTGGATACACTGGAGCAGGATGGGCGGGGGCTCGATGAGGGAGAGAGTTAACCGGGCTCTGTCATCTCTTCACTCTGAAGATGGATGGGGTTGGATAGAAAGTGTGAATGAAGTAAGAATCAATGACTGATGCTTCTCTCCTATTAAAACAATCTTTTTTTTTTTGTCTGTTTTTAAAAGGGGGCTGGCTTTGTTTCTCCTGCCATAATGATGCAGTGCCTCTTGTTTTCAGAGCTGACATAGTTTGCATTCTGAAAACTTTTAGATGCCCAGGGTATTTCTTAAAGCTGTAGGACCCCTTGTATCAGTAGTCCTTACCACTGTGACTTGATTCATGCTGGAACAGCTTTTAACCCATAATGGATGGCCTGAGCTACTCCTGAATCCTTGTGGATGGGTGGTATAATCTGTCATCTGATGACAATTCTGGAAAGCCCTGTTAAACAGAAAACAGAAAATTGTGTGTCTATAGACCTGCCAAAGTTTGAGGATTCAGGCTGTGTCCCAGAAACGTGTGTCAACTTAATATTTGGGGGCCAGGGTGGGGGTTCTCTTACACATAAAGGCTTTCCCAGCATGATCACAAATGGAATTGAGTATCTCTTCCCACACATAAGACCTTCCACCTGTAGATTTAGCAACTCAACTGAGACGTTCAGATTTTAACCCCTAGACAGATATAAGATTGAAAGTTTGGGATTTTTCTTTATGGTTTTATGGGGTGGTATCTGTAAGATTTCCCCCTCCCCCCTTCTTAGAGTCTTCTAAGCCAATTGGCTTTTCTTGGAAAGCAGAAATCGAATTTCATTGGAGAAACACATCCAAGGAAAAATTTTTCCGTTCTCACTATTCATGAAAAGGAAGTGTGGTCATTCTTTCTAGTTTGTGGTTTTGGTCCCTATGGAAAGCAACTAATGTTCACAGAAAATGTTAACTAAGGGAGTAAGTTAGAAAGCACAGCCAAAATAAGGTGGATCTGAGCCGGGGATAAATGCTCAAGTACTTGTGAGCTCTCAGCACTGTTGTTTTTGCTTTAAGTTCCTATTTTCTATTACATTGCTGTTCCCAGAGTTACTTTTATAATGTTTTAATGGTAGAAACCAAAACTTCAAAATTTTACTGATAATGAAAAAAGTATGCCTTTTCCTATTGAGTCTACTACCTGATGTCTACTTACATCTGTCTCTACTAAAGCAGCTTAAAGGGCTACTGCTTCTAACATAGATCATTTGGAAAACTTCCTTAGCATTTGGTCTATAGCACATTATTATCAAGCCTTAGGTAGGTTGAATCATTGTGAATAATGATCTTTCCACATCCAATGCTGAAAATATTTATTTCTTTGCAGTTCATCTTAGTCATTCCCAAGGCATATTAAGAGTAGGCACCTTTTTAAAAGGAGACTTCTGAACTACAGAGTTGCTCAAACTATAAATGGAAGCCTAGGAGTTTATTTTTGGAGGTGATATCTTTACATTGAATGAGGCATGATTAAGTGTCCTTTTCATGTATTCTTTAGAATCCTAAAACAGAATTTTTGAATTTTGGGGTTGACGCTAATCTTAAAAATCATGTATTATAACCTTTGGCTTGATACTTATATCCTTGTACATCATCCCAGACTATGCTTGAATATCCTTCTTTAGGAGAACTCTTTGTCCCAAAGCTGCAAGTTCCACCTTAGGACAATATGATTATTAGAAAGATATTTGTTAAGTTGGCTAAAATCTGTCTCACTTAATATTGACCCTTTGAATATTTAATTTTTTATTCACCCCTAATTTGGGGAGATGGGCTTTCTATTCTTCATTTATTGAGCTCTTATTTGCTTGTAATTGAGTGTTTTTCACATGTAACATTGTTACCTATTCCTCATCCAGTCCTTATATGGTTGATTTAATGGACCGAAACTGGAGACTACTCTCATTGGTCCATGTTTTTCTTTCAGACATTTTATTTTTATTTTTTCGAGACAGAGTCTTGCTCTGTTGCCCGGGCTAAAGTGCCGTGGCATCAGCCTAACAGCAATCTCAAACTCCTGGGCTCAAGCAATCCTTCTGCCTCAGCCTCCCAAGTAGCTAGGACTACAGGCATGCACCACCATGCCTGGCTAATTTTTTCTATATATTTTTAGTTGTCCAGGTAATTTCTTTCTATTTTTAGTAGAGACAGAGGTCTGACTCTTGCTCAGGCTGGTCTTGAACTCCCGAGCTTGAGCCATCCTCCCACCTTTCCACCTCCTGGAGTGTTAGGATTACAGGCGTGAGCCACCATGCCTGGCCTTTCAGACATATTATTACCAACACTTTTTAAAATTCTAAATGGCCAGTATAAAGCTTTTTAGGTCTTTATTCAGTTATCTAGCTTATTAACTGCTTTAATCGTTATGCCTATTATAAGTTGAAGATAAAAACATTAAACAGGAATGGCCAGAGTTAAAGGAATAAGTTAAAGTTGAGGCAAATTATAGGGTATACACCTGTGAAAGAAGGTGCAGCAGAGCAAGGATGTTCTTTTACTGTCATTGAGTATATTTGCCTCAGTAGTTTATATTCATTCGGGTCATGCTTACATGTTCTCTTGTTTTAGAGAATTTCAGACAGTATCAATTGAATGATAATTTTAAAAATACTCAAAACATGGAATATTTGATGAAGTCATCTTTGTATAGACTGTAATGACAGAGTGTCATTTAAAAGCTATAGAATTTCATTAGAAGGCAAATTATATGTGGATAGCAAAACTATTCATCCTTTCTCGCCTGTCCTGTCTATGCTCACTTTCCTACTTCTTAAGGAAAAGAGAGAAATGACATTTTGAATATACAAGCTTTCATGATATTTTACATTTGTATAGCACTTCAGAGTTAAAGTACAAATGAGTTAAATCTCATTTGTCAGATTTCTGGGTTTAGAAAACCTACTATTAATAATGATGTGAATTAGACAATAGAAATCAAAATCCTCTTTAACATTTTATATTTTCTATATTTATAAGCTCATAAAAGTAGGATTGCAGTACAACTTTACATGCAAATATAAATATATGTGTATCTTTCTATCAAAATTTGGGTTAATGCTAAATCTTGAGAAGGACAACTTTATGGGCTGATTTAGTTGACTATCTTGAAGAGGTATGTACATTCCAAGTACTAATAATTGTGGGCCTTTAATGATTCGTATTTGGGAACCGTTTATGAGCAGGACCAATGTAGATTCTCAGTACTTATTTGATCGTTTAACAGTACTATGCCTTGGGATTTTCTTCCGTGGTTAAACATTAAGTATATAATGCTGATGAAAACTAGAATTTGATTTTCACTTCAGTTTATTTTATCAGACTCTGAGTGCCTATTATTTACAAAGCATAACCTAAGTGCTATGGGAATACACAAATGAATATAATATAATCTCTGCCCTCTAGGAGCAAAGGGGTGATGAACAAATACTTGATTCTAATATATAAGGCACACTGTGATAAATATTACAGTAGAGGGATGAAACCATTGTGTATGTTTCAATTATTTCAGCAGTTTTTGCCACATAATAAATCATCCTACAACATATTGACTTAAACAAGAACCATTTATTAAGCTCAAATTTCTACAGATTAGTAATTTAGGGTAGGTTCAGCTGGTCTCACTAATACTTTGAGGTTAGCTGCTAGATTGGCTAAGGACTTGTTGGTCTAGGCCTGCTCTTCGCTAATCCATGTGATCGCCCATCAATCAACAGCCTACACCAGGCTTATTCACAGGGCTTCTTGACAGGTTCCAAGAAAGCAAGAGCAAATGTGCAAACTCCTTGAGGCTTACACTTGAAACTATAGCAAACCATCACTCCCACCACATTCTTTTGGTTAGAGCTAGTCACAAGGCCAACTCCAATTCAAGAAATGAGGAAATAAACTCCAATTTATACTTTAATTGAGATATAAGATATATATAAATAATACAAATCAAGAGCAAGATTATATCTATTAAGTACAAAAAGAAGCCATGAGTGGAGAGGCCTTTGTGACCCTGAATAGTTATAAAATGTTTTATGGAAAAGATACAGAGTTGAACTGAAAAAAAGTTAGGCATTGGTGAAGGAAGAAAGCAATTCATACATAAAAACATTGGCAGATTTGAGTTTTGTTTAAAAACATGGTGGGGGAGGTGTTGGCTTAACTAGGATCTAGACTGTCTTTTTTAAGTATTAGGCTAATCTCTTTAAGTCCCCATTTCTTAATTTCTCTTATTTATTCCTTATGTTTTGCTGTTAAGCTTCTTCATGCACCTCTTTTTTT